TTTCTCCATATGCTATCAATAATTTATTGTGGTGTTATTTTCGCCGTATGGATTGGTATTTTGGTTTTCATTAAGCCCAAGAATTTATTGTGGGGTTCTTTTGGTCGTGTGGATTGATACGTTGGTTTTCATGAAGCCCAAACATGTGTATGTAAAGAGTAGGCTTGATGCCTTACTTATGATGAGCATTGTGCACTTGAGCACCGCACCCTTGAGAGTTGGTGGGCCTTAAACTCAAAGCCCACCCAATGGTTCCATGAGGAGCTTGAATCCAAATTTTTTGATGATGCAATTTCCATAAGGTTTAGGTTTCATGGAAAAAGTAAATCCGTACTTCAAAATCTCACTGGAAAAATGTAATTCTCACATTTGAAGCCCTATGATAGCTAGGAAATCTATTTCTACTTTTGATTTATAAAATTTGAAGTTAAAACAATAGTATAAATCTTGTAGATGTGGGCACTAGAAAATAGACGGTCTAGATAATTCATTACAAGATACAATTTTGTTAGAGTTTAAAATACTTATTTTTTCTCAAATCCATGATGGTTAAGCTTGAGATGATTAACTTGAGGGCTTTCCACCACTGGAGCTATAAATTTCGGTGGGGTTTATAGTATGATTTTACCTTCTTTTTTTTTTTAGAAAATTATTGTTAATATACTTTAATTTTAAGAAAATCACAAAAAAACCCCAAACTTTCTAAAACCTCGCCCGCACCCTTTTTTCTAATTTTCGGCATTTTTTGGATGAACAGTAGTCTTTATACCATAATGCATTGCGACCATTAAGGTAATTAAAATACCGTTATAAATAGAGATAGAATTACGATACTAGAAGTACGGTAATAACATAAACATCTTATACTTTAATTACTGTAATATTGACCAACTCAACATGAAAGATTTTTCACCCTCTCGAGCCTACTATTTATTTACTCCCTCGATAAAAATCTACACTAACTGTACTTTTTTAAATCTCAAATTTTTATGATATAATATCTACTTAATTTTTATATGGTTCTCAAAATTTTAAAACGAAAACATGCTTAAATAAGTGTTTTTGAGTAAGAGAGTAGATCCACATCGTGGTTGCATGGGAACATAGAGTTTTTAAAAAGGGTAGCCCTGATATTAGGTTTGGTTGGAAGCTATTAAAGTATTACGGTACTTCTGTTACAATAATACTTTAAAAGCTTCAAACCAAAGCTAATATCAGGGCTACCATTTTCAAAAAATCGATATTCCCATGAGAGCACGATGTTGATCTATTCCCTTGCTCAAAAACACCTATTTAAGTGTTTTTTCGTTCTAAAATTTGGAGAACCATATAAAAATTAAGTAAAGATTATATCCTCAAAATTTGAGATTTGAAAAATTACAACTAGTGTGGATTTTTATCGAGCGAGTAAATAAATAGTAGGCTCGAGAGAGTAAAAAATATTTCGTGTTGAGTTAGGCAATATTAGAGTACTTAAATTCCCGTAATACTACTTTAAAGTATTACGGTATTTTAATTACCGTGATACTCTATGTTATTACGGTAATTAAAGTACTGTAATAGATGTTTACGTTATTAGGGTACTAAATTTTATTTCTATTTACAACGGTATTTTAATTACCGTAATTGTCAGTAGAAAGATTACTGTAAAAGGTATTTTCGTCTAGAAAATGCAGAAAATTAGAAAAAAAGTTGTGGGCGAGGTTTTGGGAAGGTTTTTTTTTTTAATCATGTGATGGTATGTCATGTCTTAATACTAACGCCAGACCTACGAGTTAAGCTAACAAGCCTCAGCAACGGCTTGATAGGCCCCAAGTATAGGCTATGTAGGGTGCTCACACACTATATATATATATATATATATATATATATATATGGGTTATGCTAGGGTGTTTATACTATAAGACATCGTATAATTGTATTCTATAAATTTTAGACATTTATAATTATGTATAAAAATATATAATATAAAAATTTTTGGATACACCTTTTAAATAAGTTTAAAATTTAGATTTATTATTATTTTTTTTTATGTATAATCCGTATGGTTCTGTGTGTGTTCCTCCATATAAATCCCGGGACCAAGTTTGGTCGCCATCCGGGTCCCGGGAAGAAAAAGACCCATAAAAAAAAGCATGAAAGATTTGGATATGGATAATTAACAAGACGTTAGCAGAAATCATGATTTTTTGCCGGCCTACCAAAAGAGAATAATTTTGTTTATTTATTATTTTGAAAGGAAACATTGGGCGTAGTTTTGAAATTTCTACAAAATGAGAGGTACATAAAGTGTACGGCACTATAGACAAATGACGAATATTGCAAAACGTAAGCATATTCCAGATATGTGCGCACAAATGACGAAAACACCCTGGACTTAATCAACCAAACCGACGAAGGAAAAGTTTATATAGAGACTCTAAACAATTAAATTAGAGCCTATATAAAAAATTTCGGTTATTTTGATGTTTAAATGTAAACATCAAAATATATGGACATGAGAAAAAAATAGATTTCAAGTTTTGAAAATAGTGTATTTTGTAACATATTTTTGAACCGTCAATTTTAAAGATTTTCAAGTTTTCATAGATCTGTCAATCTATACTATTTTTGAAGCTTTGAAATTTTTTTAAAAAATAAAAATATATTTTAAAGCTATCACAAAGATTTCCAATATTAAAACCACATTTCTCGATACTATTTGAAGGTAGGTTCTAATTTGATTGCTTAGAACCTGAGCTTTATACAAACCGCACCCCTTTATGAAAGCATTCTCAGCCCCTGGATTCCCTCCGGCTCATTTGTGGAAGAAGTATTCAGCCCTTTTGATCGACCCTGAATTCTTAAGATCTTAAATATGACAGAGGATACTTTTTGAAAAATAAAAATAAAACAAGAGGCCTTAACATAACAAAAAGCAAGTTTCAATTATATGGTTATTGTCCAACCTACATATTCATGTCAGCACACCTCTAAAAAACTAATAAAAAATAATTTTTTTAAAAATAGAAGGTTTATTTTTTTTAGAGGTACTATTTTCTATCTTGAATTAGTTTGGTCCCCGCTAATTCCTGGTCCTATTGATGATTTTCCAATCCAGATTGTTGTGTTTCCCAAGACCATGATAAATTAACTAATTTTAATGATATATCAGTATTCTATCTAAGTACTTTTTCAATTGTTTTTAAAAAAGAGCAAGCTTTCTGTACTTTTTTCATTGTGTAAAATTTATATACTTCCCTCTATCCAACCGTCTATTCTTAATGGACGGCTAAGATGTTGTCAATCACATTTTCATGCCTCTATACTATTTTACTTTAAATTTTTTTGACATAATATTTTGACACTAGGTGTCCACTCCTATTTTAAACTCGTACCTATAAAAAATATAAAACAAATATTCTCAATGAAATAAAATGATAAGGATTTCCTTGAAAATTTCATAGGTAATTTAATCATTGTATTTTATCAAAATATTTTTGAAAAATTATTAAAAATGTACATTTATTTTTACATAATTGCGAAAAAATCCTAAACTTTCATAAACCTTATCCACATACTTTTTTTGACATTTTTTTGACCAAAATAAACATTCACAGTAATAGTATTATCGTGAAACTTTAGCATTACGGTAATTTAAGTGATGTAATGACTACCCTATTTTATACGGCATTTTAAATGCGTGATAATTCGAAGTATTTTAAATACCAAAATCGAGGAAAAAAGATGTGGACGAGGCTCATGAGAGTTGAGGTTTTTTTTTTTTTAATTTGTCAAAAATTAAAGTATATTTCTAATAATTTTCTAATTTTTTTTTAATATTTTATTAGATGTGGCCCATTGAGATGATAACATGTACCAAATTTGACATTCATATAATATGGAAAAAAAAATGAAAATAAAAAAACTCAAAAGCATCATATCTAAATCCAAGAGTCAGTGGCTCACTTGATCTAAATTGAATGGCTGTATCGCAAGAAGTATATATATTCTATACAATAAGGGAAGCATAAAAACTTTTCCCTCTAAAAAATACCCAAATCACATGTCATTTTAGTGTCGTAGTCAAATGATGTTAATGCCTTTACGAGTTTAAATGATGTTAATGCCTTTTACGAAGTTTAAAAAACTTTACACATATCAAGTTAAAATATCTCTCCTTGAGGATTACTAATTTGCTTTTACGAGGTTTAAAAAACTTTACACAAAGTTAAAATATCTCTCCTTGTTGAGGATTACTATCGTGAATCATGGAATCATTTGCTCAAAACTTTTAAGTTTCCAAATAAAAGATTTTCTAAATTAAGTAATCTACAACTAAAAATTATTAAATTTACAACAAAAAATTATTAATTTAGCCACCTCATTGTTGAAAAATTGTGGTTAAGATTTTCTAAATTAAGTGCTCTACAACTAAAAATTATTAACTTTACAACTAAAAATTATTAATTTAGCCACCTTATTGTGGAAAATAATTTGACCAGAAGAGTCAAAATATCTACACTGCCGTATAAGGCCTATACCAAACTCGTACGAAATCAAAGTCAAATTTGTCCTCCATAAATTAATAAAATATGCGTCATTCTCGCAAATACACCTAATATTAGGGTCATTACAGTAATTTTGATTTCGAGGGCAAATTAGCCAATGTCAGTGTTATTCATACTAATTTCAAGGGGCAGATTAGTCTTTCATAGAAAACTAAATGAGGAATTAGTTCATGGGAACACACTCGAAAATTTCATCCAATATTGGGGGCAATATGGTAAATTTAACCTTTGGACAGGTGACTGATAGCGCCAATTCTGCAGTGCATTGCTCATTTCTGTGGGCGCCATGTGCATGAAAACGATCAGTGTACAGTCGAAATGACGATCTTGCCCCCTGCACCGAACAGATGGACCAGATTCTCCGACTACTGTTTTGCACCATGCATGGTTGATTGTCCTTTCTCGCTCTTTTTACACAGTGGCCCCCTTAAAATCCCCTCCGTTTTACCTTCTTGGCCAAGCCTTGCATCAGGAGCCACAGAAGAGAGGGGGAGGTTCAGTATATTATCAGGTTTTACAGTGCTATCTGGTGGTCTCAGTTTCTGATCATTTGGTTTGATTTTGAGTGGTGTTGATGGTGTTTTGAGAGTTATAAGGTGGAGTTTTGAGTTGGCTTTTTGTTTACATTGAGGATTTTTCAGAGTTTAGAGCGTTTTGAGTGTTACAAGGTGGAGCTTTGAGTGGGGTTTTTGTTTACATTGAGGTTTTTTCAGAGTTTAGAGCGCTGGGCCTGCAATTCCTTCGGGTTAAGGTGATTGGGCCGTGTTCTAAGGTGCTTTTATCTAATTTGAGAGTGATAGGAGTGAGATTAGGGGTTGAGATTGTTTTTTAAGTCAGGAATTCTTCGATTTTGCACCACTGAAGTTACACTTCTCTAGTCCTGGTAATTTTTTTTAATTTCAGGGATTTTCATTGGGATTTTATGATTTTAAGGTGGATTGTGATTGGGTTTTGGGTCCATTTTGGTGATTTTTATTGGGATTTTAAATATGTTTGAGGAACGTCGAAATTGGAGATTTCTCATGGTTTAATGCAATCAAGAATCAAGACCTCTCAGTTTTTTGTTCTTGGTTTGATATTACTGTTTTTTGCTGGGTTTATATTCAGTTCATGATTTAAATTTGGCTGTTTTTTTTTTTTGGTGGGGATTTTTCCAAAGGGTTCCAAATTCAAAGCATTCCATTTCTACAATCCCTGGTAATTTGGTTTAAGTTTTTGGAAAAATGCATTGTGTTTATGAGTTATTAAGATGGTTTTAACTTGTTTTTGGTTTTATAATGGAGATTTCTAATGAGTTGAAGCATTCCACTCCTGGCGCTATGGTATTTTCGTTGAGTTTTTCCTGAATTGTTTTGGCTTTGATTGCTCGCTTTGGGTTTGATTGCTCGCTTTGGGTTTGATTGCTATATTTATAAAGAGAAATGCGAAGTCTTGCTGTTTGTTTCCAAATGAGAGTTTCTCAGTATTTGAATCATTCCAGTTCTTTCAGTATCTAGTTAATGACTTTAATTGGTATTCTTATTTTTTTAGTAGGTCTTTTTTTTACTGTTTTTGTTTTTTGTGGGTGTGGGCGGTTGGGGTGGGGGGTTGTGGTTAGTGTTAAACCAGAGGGTTGAGCTTGGCTTCTTGTTTTAATCATGCATTCTCAAGGCTGGTTATAACTGTTTTTCCCAAATTTTCATTTCAGTTGGATATTCTCAGGGTTCAAAGCTTTCCAGCTAGCTATATCCGCTTCTGGTAAGTGTTCTTTATTTTGACTATATTCGTTAGGTGTTTATATTAGATCTTATATTTATTTTTTACTTTGTTTTATTTTTTTAGATTGGCTTTGTTGTTCTTTATATTTCATCAAATTTTTGTATGTAATGGATCACAAAGTACAAATCTTGATTTGGTTTGTTTTAAAATGGGTCCTCACAGAATTACCTCAAAAAAAACAAAAAAACAAAAAAATAGGTAGGTTTTACTTATTTTTCTTTACTTTTCTGGAGGAATATGTGGAAATGATTGTCTGCCTTAGCTTGCTTATAAATTTTCCGAGGGAGGATCTTTACTAAGGACTATGGAGAATTGGAAATTTTTTTCCCCTTCTTTTGTGTGTTATGTAGTCAAATCTGATATTTTCTGAGGGCAAACTGAAGGAATGATTTTTCTGTGTATTACTCTATGCTGGAGGATTTGCTATTGTTCAGATTTTAAAAAAGGAAAAAAAAAACTGTCTTTTTTCTAACTGTAGTCTTTCTGGGGCCTTTATAGGTAAGGACTTTGGTAGTATGGGGGTTCTTTCTGTACAAAATTTTCATCTTAACTTGTGCATATACTTGCTTTTTGAAACTAAACTCTATGGGATTTGGGTTGTTGAAATTCTTGTCATATGTTGTGAACCATGATTCTGAAATCTCTCTCTCTTTCCCTTTGTGTGTATGTGCATGGCCAGGCACCTAAGAAGTTTGTGAGGCAACGATGAGTATGCCTAAGGCAAAGCGGAGAGTAGGTAAATATGAATTGGGAAGGACCATTGGAGAGGGAACCTTTGCTAAGGTTAAGTTTGCGAGGAATTCTGAGACTGGGGAAGCAGTGGCCATCAAAATTCTTGATAAAGAGAAGGTTCTCAAGCACAAAATGGTTGAGCAGGTCTTATTCCGAGCACCGTTCGGTTTTTGTTGAATGTCACTTCTCGTTGAAATATACCATATTCTAAGGGAGTGAGGTATATGATAGATACCCCATAGGGGTAGCCACTGTCTATTCCTGATGATGGTTGGTGGAGATTAACTATACTCAGTGAATGTCCTTGTGTGGCTCACTATGCTTAATCTTCACCTTTCATTATCAGGAATGAAATTTTGGAGCCCCTTACCGGGATGGAAACCACACTCCAGTGAAATATGATATCCTTTTCCTTCTCTGAATCCCATTGTTCATTTCTTCTCTAGAATTTATGTACAATGTTTGTTTGTTAGAATAATCATCCTAGAAGGAAAAGCAACAAACGTACGCACACACACACACATGTCCTCTGTCCATTCCCTCAAAGAGATGGTGGAGATGCAGTGTACCTGTTAATGTCCATCATTGGGAACTACGTTTCATCTTAATCATCCATTGAAGGGAATGAATGGTGGTTGTCCAGTTTTTGTACCATAATTATAGATCAATGGCGCCTGGTTTATACTTTTGTTTAACTTTTTCCTTTTTATTGGGTGATCAGTATTTCAGTGTAGTAGGAGCCTTTTCTCTATGCAGCATTCTATGGAATTGCCTCCCAATTGGCTTTTTAGATACCAATCTGTGATCTTTTCCTTGATATTTAGATTTTAATGGGTTTTCATATTGGGATGGATTTGTTCTTATTTCCTGTATTAGGTCTTAATAACGTGATATTATTAGTTCAGTTGTGCTCCTGAAGTGCGTAATATTTTTTTGTTGTTGAAGTATTACGTACAAAGACTAAGTCTGATAATGTTATGCTAAATGGAGCAATACAATGCAATTCGGACGAGCACTATGTTGATCGCTTAGACCAACTCCGCCTTCCATAAATATCCTTGGTCAGTGAAGTTGTTGTCCACTTTTGAAGTTGGCCCTTTTTTATGTGGGAAGGGTTTCTCAACTACACCTCCAAGGATGAATTTGGAAAGTGGATGTTGGGTATGGGCAACCAAAACAATACTTTTACGAAGTATAGTATCTGATCCCGTTCTAAATTGCAGATCATTTTTGATATGCATGGGTAAGTCTTGTGGATTCTCAATGTTATTTTGTCAACTTGCTTGTGGACTTCGGTGTTACTTCAAAATTTCGTCCATATGTTACTCGTTTCCAGTGTTCAAAACTTGCCAAGTCAGACTTCGCTCAGCCAGGTCACTTGGACCCTACGAGGTGCCGAGTCATAGCAAAAATTCCTCGTGGACCAGCCGATTCTCACCGGTTCCCGGGGGTTATTTGTATTTTTTTAAAGACTTGACCGGGGCTGATTTAGACTCGGACCCTGCCCCTGAGCCCGAGTTTTACAAATATTGCTTGTTTCTTTCATCCGCATTATTTATGCTACCATCATTACTATACCTTATTGTCTGAAGGGTTTTACAAATATTGCTTGTTTCTTTACATCTGCATTATTTATTCTACCAGCATTACTATACCTTATTGTCTGAAGTGTTTCAAATACTTGTGCAGATAAAACGGGAAGTTGCGACAATGAAATTGATAAAGCATCCCAATGTTGTCTGCCTGTATGAGGTGAGTCCATTTGAAATTTCTAGAAATGTTGGCATATCTTGGAAGAAAGTAATTGCTATAAGGTCTCTTCCCAGCGGACAGTATAAATTGTTGACTGAGTGTCTAGATTATATGGTTCAATCTACATGAGTAGTGTGTTCTTTGCTGCTCGCGTCCTCCCATAGTTTTCCCTTTGTCATTGCAGCTGCCGATTGTTTTTCATAATTGTCAGATGGACATTTCCATCTGAAACATGATGACTCAACCATGTGACTTGAGCTTTTCATATAATCAATTGTCTAGGAATTTACCTTAATTAATGGTTTTCCAATAAATAACTTTTTATTCATGGTATAAACTTGTGCAATTTGATTAAAAGAGTAAAAGACCAAATATTTGTGTGGGTGTTGGGATCTATTAGTTGGTTTAACGGTTGCTGCTAAGTATTGGTGTAAACAAAAATTAGTTGGCTCAGTAATTGCTGCTAAGGATCCTTGTAAAATGCAGTGACTTTCTATGGAGCAGTAATCCAAGTTGAAGAACGAATTATTGAAAATGGAATTTAGTCATTAAATGCAGGTTTGTGCGGTGTTCTCGAGCTTGTATAGCATTCTCTTTGATCAGATGGGCATTGGCCATTCTTAACTTAATTGCTAAATATTGATGTAAAATGAACTGCTTTCTGTATGCATGTAATCACTATTGAGAGAACTTTTCAACTTAAAAAAAAAAGAATCTTTAATTACCATCTATGATTGGGCCTTCTGTGGCATCTCTTTTGTACATATGTGATTGGACCATTCAGGATATACTTATTTCCATGTTAATTCTTCGTTTTACAAGCATATAGAGGGTGTTTAACTAGTAATAAGACCCTTGGTGCAGAAAAGACTCAACATATAAGAACAAACTAAGAATTACAAATATAGCTTTCAGCATTTTCATCATGTAAATTTTCATTTTAGCAATTTAGTTTTCTAATTACTTATTTATTTTTCTTTGTGATCAACTTCTGTGCATTCAGGTTATGGGAAGCAAAACCAAAATTTTTATTGTTCTTGAGTTTGTCAATGGTGGAGAGCTTTTTGACAAAATTGTAAGTGACAGAATTTTCCCAACTTTATTCATATTATGTACATTCTCATAAAAAAAATAAAAACAGAATACACATTATGTGTTTTGATAGTGAGGCTGTACGTGCTACTCTTCTCATTATGTGGTTTGATGCTTTTAACTACCAATACATTAGGGAAGTAGACCGTAAAACCTTGCCTTTCATCTAAATGATGGATGGTGATGATGTGAGAGGGTGGGCTTGTGATTGGGTTCATGTCTTGTTCTGCATGATCTCCAACCATTACACACTCTCTCCCTCTCCCCCGAAATGAAATAATTCTCTGGACTATAGTTACTCTTCCAATGAAATGATAGTTGATGATATATGAACATGAATCTTTTGATTTGGAAGGTCAATCATGGGCGTATGAGAGAGGATGAAGCAAGAAGATACTTTCAGCAACTTATCAATGCTGTAGATTATTGCCACAGCAGAGGGGTATATCATAGAGACTTGAAGGTACATGAATTGAGTTTTTATCACGTAAATGTTCTGTGGAGGAAATATAACATCAATGGTTAGTGCATTTGGATAATCCTTGCAAGTGCTCTAGAAACTCGAATTTTTGAAATCCTTCTCTAACAACTTTCCAAAATGATTATTTTACCCTCATTTAGTACTTCAGAAAAACACTTATCTGGTAATTATTGTACTGAGGTTAAAAGTATCCAAAAGAAAAAAAAAAGGAATTATTTAGGCAGGTCTTTATGTAAAGCATCGGGAGATGCTTTCTCTGCTGTGTGTTTGGTAATTTCTTTTATATTTCTCAAAGACTATTATAATTGTCTTTGTGCTATTTGCAGCCAGAAAATTTACTTCTCGACACATATGGGAACCTCAAGGTGTCTGATTTTGGATTGAGTGCTCTTTCACGACAAGTCCGGGTAAGTATGTTTAACTTAATACATAGTATTCTGATGTTTAATATAAATGAACTTATGACTGTAAACATTTTTCTCATTGTCAATTTATTGATATGGCATTGATCCTAAGGTCATATAGGAATTATGACCTGCATGCACCACTTCCATGAAGTTCTTAAAATTCTAAGAATCTATGGAAAATGACTGTATATAGAATACATACAAATAGAGAACAGAAAAGGAACGAAAAAAGAAGAAGACAAAAAGCAAGTAAGTGAATCCGAGAAACAAAAAAGTGAAACAAAACTAACATAACAATGCAAACCTAGAAACAAAATAATAAAATATACTAGTCTCTCAAAGGGTATAATTTCGGATTAATTTAACTGTGTGCTGCTTCTGTGCAGGACGATGGCTTACTTCACACTACTTGTGGAACTCCAAACTATGTTGCCCCTGAGGTGTGAAGAGTGGCTTGTTTACTCACACATCTATCTGTCTATCTACTTATCCATCTAGCTATCGATATACCTGTCTGACTTTTTATTATATGGAGCATCTATCTCTGCATTTAGATAGTGAGTAGTGTTATGCCCAATGGTGAGTGAACTGAATAAATCCATGTGATTTTGTTTATGTGAACAGGTTCTTAATGATAGAGGTTATGATGGGACAACCGCGGACTTATGGTCTTGTGGGGTCATCCTGTTTGTCTTGCTTGCAGGTTACTTGCCTTTCGATGATTCTAATCTTATGAACCTTTATAAAAAAGTGAGCATTGTACCAATTTCAGTGTGGCATTTCCTTGTAGCATTTTGCTTTTGTTTATTACAAATCCATTTTGTACTCGCAGATCTCCGCTGCTGAATTTACTTGCCCATCTTGGCTTTCTTCGGGTGCGAGGAAATTGTTATGTAGAATCTTGGATCCAAGCCCAATGACTGTAAGCATGAATCCTCTGAGTTTGATGCAAGAATGAATGGTTATATTTTCTAGCCCTAGACCCATTTGTTGCATGTATCAGTAGGGAAATGTGTACTATACTACAGTGGGCCATGAAAAATCATGTTCCGTTAGGTCTCTACTGACTCATAAAATGATAGATTGTGAAGGATAGAAAGTGAGTCCCACCACTGGGAAAATGTCCTGTTCTGGTGTGTCCCATTCTCTGTTGTGGGTGCGTGCATGTGTTTGTGTGGTTGAGGAATGTGGGTTTATTTTCCTTTTCCATCCTTGTAAGTTGTCTGTTGTTTGTCACAGCGTATTACTATTTCAGAGATTTTGGAGAATGAATGGTTCAGGAAGGGGTATAAGCCTCCTGAGTTTCAGGAGGAGAACAAAATAAATTTGGACGATGTTGATGCTGTTTTCAAGGACTCTGAGGTAGGTCGAAGAAAAAGTTCCTTTGTAAGTAAACAAAAACTTCCTGTTCTTGTTTCTCCTTTTTAATTGAATGAAATCATAATTATTGATCTGAGGAAAGTACAATGTAATCTTGTGGACTACGGAAAAATACAACCCATTGGGATCATGTTTATCAATTGAAATGATGATGGAGAGTGGGACCCGAAAATGGGGTCTTGTGGTGTACTGCTAGGCCTAATCACAGTCCAATTATTTATCATTTCATTGATCGTTGATGATCCTAATGGACTATGGTGTTCTATGGTGGATTACAATATACTTATTACATACTTTATAATAATGATGATTAAATATTATATGATTTTCTTCACCAGGAGCACCATGTGACAGAAAAGACGGAATTGGAACCAGCAGCAATAAATGCATTTGAATTGATCTCTATGTCAGAGGGTCTCAATCTTGGAAACTTGTTTGAAATAGAGCAGGTAGGCCAGCCGAATTTTTTTGTCTATTCATAATTGGGTTTGGTAAACCATGCCTTAAGTGGACGACATGGAGAGAGGTAGAGGGAAGTGAGATATGTGGGGTGGGTAAACACATATCTTAAATGATGGTTACCTTAGATGCTATCCACCACCTATTTTATAAGGAAAATGCTTCTCTGTGGCATATGATAAAATTATGATGTTAATTACTCTATTCATTGTTTAGTAATGCTCAAGGCCATTGTTCTCTTCCTTTCTTGCCATTTGTTAAGGATGTGGATGATGCCCATAGTTCCTTCCAATATTTTGGCCCTAAATTTACTGATAAAAAATAATAAATAAATAAACAGAGTTAATTCTAAGTTTTGTTATGAATTTTGATACAAACTACCCATCTACTTTTGAAACACAGTATCAGGAGAGACTTTGCGCCCATTCTTGACTGTAGCTTTTGGAGACTGAGTACACCTGTTTGGGTCAGTTTCCAACTAATTTTCATTCCTTTTATGTTGGCAGGAGTTTAAGAGGGAAACTAGATTCGCGTCAAAATGTCCAGCTAGCGAAATTGTTCGTAAAATTGAAGAAGCTGCAAAGCCTCTTGGTTTTGATGTCCACAAGAAAAATTATACGGTCTGTTAATCTGCCATTCCCCCTTTCCCTGCACTCTCTCTCTCTCTCTCTCTTGCTCGCTGCATATTGGCACGTGTTTGTGTGATCTTACGTGCATGATACTTGCATGGATTTCTACACATTGTAAGCTCTTGAATGAAGTACAAACAAAATACATCTGCTGAGGGAGAATATATAAACTGAGAGAAGAAATGATTATTACTGTTGATTGATATATATACTTAAATCACACTATTCTGTGTAATTCAGATGCGACTCGAAAATGTTAAAGCGGGGAGGAAAGGCAACCTAAATGTGGCAACAGAGGTACATCTCTCTCTATCCATGTTTAAATTTTATATAAGAGGATTACTGGGTTGAAGTGTCAGTCAAGATATTTACAGAGAGATCCATTTGCAAAACAAAACTGCACCAGCCATTGTTCTTGGGACCTTTATATAGTCTTTATGCTGACAATGCTACAGTTCTTCATGTGATGTGTGTGCGTGCATGTGTTTATGTGATTTTTTTTTCTTTTTCTGAGAAATTGAAATATTTTGTTGGGTTTTCAGGTCTTCCAGGTGGCACCCTCCCTTCACATGGTGGAGGTTCGGAAGGCGAAAGGTGACACCCTAGAGTTTCACAAGGTTCGTTTCACAAAATCTCAACCAAAGCACAAAGAAATAAAAATTATTTTACGAGAAAAATCATATTATTTCTAGATTGGAAAATGTACATTACTGATTATTTACATTTCATTGTGTGTGTTTATTTGTTTACAGTTCTATAAGAACCTTTCAGCTGGGTTAAAGGATGTAGTGTGGAAGACAGAGGAGGACACAGAGGAAGATAATCAAGGCTGAATATTAGAGAGTAATTTTTGTCAATTATGAAAATAGAAAAAAGAAAAGAAAAGAAAAAAAAGGTGGTGTTTTTCAAATGTCTGTAATATTATTTTGTGTTTCTTTGTGAAAGCGGGTTGGTGGTCTCTGGACGTCTTTGTTTTTAGTCATGGCGTGGCCGCCTTCTTGCGTTCATGATTTTATTCATTTAATCAAAAGACCCTCTTTTCTTCTCTCATATTTCCGGTCATATAGAAAAATCGCAATCTATGAAATTTCACTTATTTTGTACCCCCTCTCCTCTGCTTTCCTTTATTATGCAACTCTCATCTTTTCATACTTCTCTCTCTTCCATTTATCTTTAAATTGTGCTCTGGTTTTGTTTCAAATCTCTCTCCTCTCTTATGCTGTCCGTTTATCTTTCAAGTGGTCTGGTTTTCTTTCTCTTGAATATTTTTCTTGGACTTTTGTTTTTTTTAAGCAAGAATATTTCTCTTGGACTTTCTCCCCCATTTTCTGACACTTAAACATTTTCTTTTTTTTTTAATTCTCATCATTCCTCATTCTCATTCCTCAATCTTTTCAATGTATGTGGGATAAGACGTGAGGGAAGAAGATCATATAATCCATCAGTCCATTGTACTTTTTTTTTTTTGACGAATGTTATGAGCTTATATTAAGAGAATGCTTAAGCAACATGAGATTACCATGGAGGAATCGAATCAGAATTAATGAAGAGAAACACCAAGCTTGGCGAGACCATCTGGTATAGGTGTGGCAATAGGAGACCTGCAAACTCGAAAGAGCAGAAAGATCATAAATATTAACGAGGGTATGTAAGGGCCAAGGGATCTTAGGCCCCTGCCTGCACCATTTAACAACATTTAAAGAGTCACCCTTAATAATAAGGTTTCTAGAGAAAACCCTCTCAACAATACGTTTTAGCCCTGGTAAAAAAAGATGATATTTTAGCTTGATTTGCTGTAGTAACTCCGCAGGGACCGGCATAGGAAAAAAGAACCTGTCCCTCATGACATTTCAACGTTTCAACAGGTTTGGCTGCAGTAGCAGTAGGGATCGGCATAACAAATTAAAAAAAAAGGGGAAAATTATACAAAAACACGAAGACTACATTTTTATGTAACTTGTCCGCAATTTAATTTTTTCTCACTTTTTTTTTTTAAATAATTTGTCTATGCAAATACCCAGTCCGACATTAGGGCTCTGTGTCCGAAATGGGGGCTTCGTCACTGTGTAAATGTGGTCTGACATTAGGGCTCTGTATAAACTGTAGTATGGCAGTAGGGCTTCAACACTATGTAAAATACAGTTCGGCAGTTGTAAAGTGCAGTTTCGCAGTAGATGTTACAGGATTCGAAGGATTTGGGAAAATATAAAAGGTAGTTGTAAAAGGTAGTATGACAGTATTCAGTTTCTGTCAGGTAGTTGTCGTCCGGTACTTGTGCGATGTGATGATGCGCTCCAGCAATGTGTTACTTGGTCTAAAAGTAAATGTTGGTCAAAATGATTTTTGTGTACAAAAGGATATTTCCATCTACAAAATAAACTTTTCAATGGGGTAAAAAATGATTTTTTTTTTTATTAAGGGTATTTACATAGAAAGCTTGTTTTGAAAAAAAAAAAAACGTAAGAAAAAGTTAGGTTGCCGTCTTCTACGGAAGGAGTCCACCAACCCCTACATAAGCTGACTCTCTCTTTCACCGACCAACTCTCTCTCACAGAATATTAGAGAATAAAATGGAGGCCACGTGGGTTATTCTCCCATGTAAATCACGTGGGAGTCTAACATAATATGTCCAGACCAAAAATTTTATTTGTAAAAAGACATGGTTCCTGTGAGTTCATGAATCACCTTTTAAAAATCTATTTTTAAAATAGATTTTTTTGCTTAAGTTTTAAGGACATGTAATGTCTAGCAAGGAGATCATGAATATGAATAAATAAGTAAATTTTAAATTAAAAATAATAATTTTATTAAAAAATATTTGAATCGTTAGTTTCAATTGTTTTTATTTAGGCCATCTATTTGTATCCATCTTTAAAGATTGATGCCTTGTACCTTGAGATCGTATGTTATAAAAATGCGATCCAACGCGCATGAAACAATTTTATTTTATAAAATTGTCTCGTCTATGAGAGAGTTAAAAAATGTAGCATCTGTAAAATTGGAGCTATCTTGAGCAGTGGTTCACGTGTTGGGGTTAGAGAGAGAAAGTGTTACTTTTGTAGAGACAGATGTTACCTTTGACCAAAACTATGGAATGAAAATTAGAGATGTTATTCTTGTTTTTCGAAAAATATTAGGCGTTATTTTGAGATAATATTATTTCAAAATTTAAAGTATATCGTTTAGAGAGAGTAGTGGGTTTCTAGTCCTATATTGAAAAATATGGGAAGAATATATTATTTCAAATTTAAAAGTACATTGTTTAGAGATAGTAGTGGTTTCTAGTCCTATATTACAGAATATGGGAAGAAAGGGAAGAGAAAGTGATGTATTTAGGTCCATTTGCATATCTAGATTTTAATATAGTTTCTCTTTCAAAAGTTTTAAGATATTTTCTCTCTCTTTCTATAACTTAAAATTTGAGAAAGTTTGTCTCTAAAAATTTTCAAGTAGTTTTTCTCTCTAAAACTTTGATATAGTTTCTAATCTTTAAAATTTTAATATACTCTCTCTCTCTCTCTAAAACTTAAAATTTGAGATCATTTCTCTCTCCAAAAGTTTTGAGATATTGCTCTATAAAATTTCTTAAGTAGTACGTCTCTTTAAATTTAATGTAGTTTCTCTCTCTAAAACTTAAGATTTGAGATAGTTTCTCTATCTAAAACTTAAAAATGCCTTCTCTAAACCCATAAATTTGAGATAGTTTCTCTCTCTAGAAATTTGAGATAGTTTTTCTCTCTAAAAAATTAATGTATTTTATCTCTCTAATAATTTATGTATTTTATCTCTCTAAAAAAAATTATATACTTTATCTCTCTAAAATTTGATATAGTTTCCCTCTCTAAAATTTTAATATATTTTCTCTCCATAACATTTTAATATATCTTTGTTCTTTAATAGAAAAATAGATGGTTTCTATGAAATGTCAATTTCACCTATTTTGGTGGAATTGAGATTTTCAAAATTTCAGCTTAAAATGAGTATTTATGAATCCTATAGAAACCTTAATTCCAACAGAAATGTCAATTGTAAGCGAGCCAAAAACGATTGCCCGGCTTTTTCCAAAAAAAGTGACTCTTAAAAGTCTGAATCCAAGGATCCAAACGGGCATGTATATGGGAATGTTTGCCTATTGGGAAAAGTTCATATAAGGGTGAGGCTCAAAACAATCAAAATAAGGCACGCCTCAAAAATTTACTAGGAAATGGTGTGTTTGAGTCCTACATTGAAGAAGAGAGAGTTTGTTTAGTTGTATTTAAGAGCATGTATTCCCATGCAATATACTCTAAGCACAAATGAGAGATGAGGTACTTGTACGGCGGAGTACGCGAAGCGCATGGGCACTTGATGGCACACTTCACATTCGTATCACCCCCTCGTAGGGGAATCTAACAGTCATCTAGATTGGATGATGCATATAATCACCGTAACACTAAATGTTATATGGGGGGCCATGTAAGCGCATGTAACAACATGTAACTTGTAGCTCTTGGATATGCATATAACCACCATAACACTAAATGGGCAACCTCTTGGTGCTCTATATCAATAGTCATCTCAACTATTCTCTGCAATTCCAACAAGCAAACTAGTGAACTAATTCTCTCTACTCGATTTTTTTTTCTCTCTAAACTATCAAGACTCTAATGTCTCATGTGTGAGTTCCATGTTCGGGTCCATAGAGCTTAGAAACATCGTAAACGATCTCTTTGTTTTCTGTATCCCGATGACAAATTGTCCTTTTTATGCACGTCAAATACTATATCACATGAAGGTAAGTATCGTATTGTGATAACGCTCCTACATGCCAAAAAATAAAAAGAGTTCGAGCTTTCATTTTTACAAATCGTGTAATTTTTCTACCCCATTTCATCCAACCAAACTCTATCCGTCATAGATGACATTAGAGAGAGAAATAGGTTATGTCGATTGAGAATATTAAATGATTAGCTAAACGAAGGGAATAAGATTACGAAGACAAAGTGGGGTTCGTCTCCCATGCAAACCACGTGGGAGTCCAATAAATTATTTCCACAACAAAAATAAAATTTATAAATTTTGTACACTCTTATAGAAAGAGAAAAAGAGGGGCTAACAAAATGTTGCTTATCTACTATTGAAGCTATCCTGGGTTGTGATTCACGTGTTGGGGTTAGAGAGAGAGAGAAGAGAGAGATGTTACCTTGTAAAAAAAAAAAAAAAGTGAGAGAAGAGAAAGAGGGGGGCTATTTAAGTATAAACTATAAAAATATAAAAACTATGGGATCAATATTAGAGACGTCAGTAATCAGTATTGTTGTTTTTTTTTAAAATATTAGGGGTTATTTTGAAATAATATTGTCTCAAACTTTGTAAGTGTATTGTTTAGAGGGAGTAGGTCTCTAGTGCTTATATTGGAGAATATGGAAAGAATATAGGAGAGAAAATTATGTATTTATATGGTATTGTTTGTCTATTGGGAGAAGTTTATATAATGGTGAGGCTCAAAACCACTGTTAGAAAAATCGAGCAATCTAACTGCTAACCAACCGTCTAGTTAGACACTGGTCGGTTCCGATTTTGGTGATTGATTTGTATTTTTTTTTTTAAATGTATATAAATTCTCAAAATTAAACAATTTGGTTTGTAATACATTTGTTAATACTTTACATTATGGTAAAAATTTAAAATTGTTTTGGTCATTAATACTTACTTTAATTAAAAAATCGATTCGCTAAAATCCATTTTTCATTAATTTTCAACTTCATTTGAATGTGTTTTGTTTTAATCATTTATTATATGCTATTCATATTCTAGTAGATTATTTTTTTTTTATTTTTTCAACACTTTTTTGACCGCCTGGGACTTGGCCCGTTAGAACGGTTGAATCAGCCAGTTTATCGGTTAGGCTGGTTAGAATGCTTCTGGGCCCATGTCCGGTTAACCATACCGGTTCGATTTTGCGAACACTGCTCAAATCAATCAAAGTAAGGCATGCCTCAAATATTCACTAGGAGAGGGTGTTTCGAATCCCATAAGTTTTCAAATCGATCATTTCGACCTCAAGATGAATGGATATGAGAAAAAATGGATTTTAAATCTTGGAAATAGTGCATCTTGTAATCCATTTTCTAGACTATCAATTTTCAAGCGTTCATAAATCTACTCGATTTACATTTATTTGAAGCTTTAAAATTTATAATTAAAAATAAAAATAAATTTTTAGGCCATTCCAAAGACCTCCAATATTGAAACAACATCTTTCTACACTATTTGAAGGTGCTCATTATTAGGGCTTCAGCCGCATACAAACCACATTCTTGTCTATTATATTCATCAAATAAGTGGGAGAGTATGCTATTCATGTGGAGCATATAAAGGGTGCCATGCACGTGGGGGCTATTTTCTCACTCTATATATAAGACTTTAATTTTTTATTTTGTATACCACTGTTATTCAATTGCATTAGGCATGCAAGATATAGTATTATCCTTACGTTTTCAGATATTCCAAGGGCAAATTCGGATAAATTTGCAAGCTCCAACCTTCACTTATTTTAATAAGGGAAAATAGTGTCTTGAAATAGAAAAACCATTATTCAATTGTGTTTGACGAGATGGATTTAGACTGATTTCGAATGTGTTTGGCGCTCTAAAACCCTTCAAATCTAGAGCGGCTTGCCAAAACCCTTCTCCTTTGCCAATTAGCTAAGGGTTTGCCAGGATGTTGCTATAAACTGGTTTAGTACTAATATTTTATTCCACTTATTCGTGTATGTGCACCGCGTTCATAAACCTGCTTATATAGAAAACGCGGCGCAAATTTCATGGCAAGGGGGACGGGTGTAGGGGTGGTCGCAATGGACGCGACCAGACCCGCGACCTAATGGGTAGACCCAACCTCAGGTCCGGGTCCACATTTTTTACCTAAATACTATTTGGATCTGGATTCAAGTAGAATAGACACACGCTAAGTGTTCATATTGTCTCAATATTGGCAACATTTACAATTTTACTGACAAGAAAGAAGAAGCCCATAGTTATAAGATATATGATGGAAAAAAAAAGGGCAAAAAACAAAAAAATTCATAGTCATAGGGTGGCAATGGTTTCGATCAGACTTGGGAGCCGATGGGTAGACCCGGGGCCCAATAGGTCCAAGTATGGCTCAAAATTTTAGATAGATACTATTCGGGTCCGGGTCTAGGTCGAGCGGGATCCGACCCGTTGCCACCCCAAGTCAGATGCCTCTACATAATGTCCCACCCTTCATTTCCATGGTTAACTTCTTCTTCTTCTTCTTGTTCTTCGAAAAAAAAAAAAAAAAAAAAAGGGCCGATTTCCCTTATATTCTATAACTATAGAAACAATAAACGCCTAGAGAAGGAACCAACCTCAATGTTCGAAAAATTGAACCAGTCCATGGAAACTGGCTAAAGGGGCGGGTCCAATAACCGGTAAACTGCCGATTCAACCACCCTAACTGGGCAGGTCTCGGTTGTTTCAAAATTGTTAATTTTTTTTAAAAAAATACAAAAATATATGAAAAATATATTTAAAGCTTGATTAAATAAAGCGTATCCAAAAGAAGTTAAAAAGTAGTAAAAAAATGAATTTTAAAAAAAATCAATTTGTGCCCCGAGTTATTTTTAAAATTTTTCAAAAAAAAAGAGAAAATATAAAAATAAGTAGTCATGGCCAAAACACTTTCCAATTTCTGGCTAAATGATAAAAACATATTAAAAAACATAGTACAAATAAATTCCTTATTTAAAGAATTTTATATATTTTGTTAATTTTTTTTTAATACCTGGCCGGACTACCAAATCGGCCAAAACCGGATCAACGAGTGCCCAGTTCCAGTTTACCGGCTGGTTCTAAATTGGACCGGCCGAGTTTGCGAATACCGACCAAAATAGCCCTTAAAACTCAAAACCATTGATGGGGAACAAAGTTTATTAGCACTTGCATGTGCCATTACATAAGTCACAGAGCATATATGCAAATAGTGTTCAAAGCAAATGCACAGCTAATTTCTCATGCAGATCCAAGGTAGAGAGAAAGAGAGAGAGAGAGAAGATTTACTCACACTAATTTCTCATGTCAAAGGCAGTTTAGAGAGAGAGATACTGAGACTAACATTCTTCGTTCAGAACAATTTCTTCTCTTACAGTGGGAGGGTCATGTTTCATGGCTTCAACTGCACAGCCCTCGGCCTCGAATTCCTCTTTTGTCGAGGAACAACTCTTAACAACACCTTCAATCCATCCTTTCAGTAGTTCTACAGTTGCCTCATCTGTAAAAATTCCATCCACCATTAAAACCAGAAGAGAGAGAGAGACAAGTGAGAGAAAGAGAGTCATCAGAAACACATTTCATGGAGAGAGAGCCACCAAGACTTACATTTCATAGAGAGAAAAAGAGACTGACACCTAGTCTAGAGAGAGAGAGAGAGAGAGAGAGAGAGACTCAAACCTAGTTTAGGAACAGTATGGCCCTGAGGGTGCCTTATGATCAAGGGTTCAATGAAAGCCGAGGCGAATTCCTCATTGGGCTCCTTTAGCCAGTCCTTGGCCCCAATGAAGTGCACAGACTTGACCTTGATGGGCTCTATGTATGCAGCCTCACATATTGTGGGATCTCTGAATTTGCTTCCTGAGATGGAGATGAACATCTTCATGGGTGGATGGTTCTTGAGAATGAGTCCCTGAATTTCCATTCATCTTTATCAACTTACATAATTTGCTATTTGGTTAGAGCAGAGTTAAAAAACTCTGCGGAGTTTAACTTGGACTCCGCTAAGTTACTTCTGGCTCGGGTAAAACGAGTTGTATAAATATAAAAAAAATAAAAAATTACGATAAATTGTAAAATCTATGTAGAAATATTTAAGTCACGGGATATAGATCATTTGCCTTTGGTACAACAGGTGTTAAATCTGGTGGTTGGGAGTCTACCCTTGACGGTGCAAAATACAAGAGAAAATATTGGAGATTGGGGATACATCCCTAGCCATTGAATTTCATATCTAATGGATTAGATTGATTGTGAACCCTTTGTATTATAAATAATTGGTCTAACAGTATATTGTCATCATTATCATCCGAGTCATCTCAACTATTTTGGATCAACTACATGAATCCTGTTATGGCGTTCTGCTCTATCAAGGGTCATACTTTTAGTCAAATCGTATGTCACCATATATTTTCTCACTACTTCCATCTATGTCATTTGGGGCATTTCTTATGCTCTTTTGGAGTCTTCCACTTGAATAAATCACACCTCTTAACCTGTATTGTTCTAGGTCAATACATCTCATAGTATATAATCCCAATATTCTATATATATGTTAATGTTTGTTACGATAATTTGTGAGTGTTTATTGTCATGTGCCATATTTTTAGATTTATTATATTTTACTTAAATGCCACTAACTCTAAATTATTTTTTCTAAATCCCTGTTATACATTTTTCCATTTTGTTTGAACTTTTAATGTAGTTTACTTTGATTTTTGCTATATTTAATCAGTCCACAAGGATTCGACCGAGTTACTCAGCTCAAGCAAGGCCTAGGACCCAAGCTTGAGCCAAATTCCTAGACATTGATTTAGGGGAAAATTTTCTTCTTGATCCTAGCTAGCTATATCGAATTAAAATTGAAGAATTTAATCATAATTTGGTGAAATTTGAAAAAATCATTTCTTAATTTGGGTAAGTTTAGAGAAATTTTAGGCTAACTTCTTTGTAACTTTGGCCCAAATATTTGCCAAAATTTAGTATTGTGCTATGTTATTTATTTATTGGTAATTTAGTGTGGAATGGGTTCTCCTACCCATAATAAAAATGAAACTCAAGATGTCATTGTTGGGGTTTATGTGGCCTTTAAAGGCCTTATGAGTGCTTATAAAATGAAATAATATAGTGGAACATGAATTCAGTGGGAGTGTGGTCCCTTATGTACCATACTAAGTAAACAATGTTTCCTGATATTGGACTGTGCTTGACGATCTAGGCTAGTCGGTTGGAAAACCAAAAGTATCTAGGCATAGAGAACAAACCGAGAAGGGTTATGGGTTATCCCTTAATGAGGTCGGAGCTTATGTCTGGATGAATGAGTCGAGGGGCTTTGTGACCCTTGTGTGTGATGGTGGGCCTACAGAGACGGGGGGCCAAAACCTCATCCATGAACCACCACATGGCATGCATATCGATAGATTGTTCGGAAAAGCCAGATATCCACCTTTTAGGGTGAAGCGTATGCATGTGCGAGAGATACCCCTATATGCCATAGAACTGTGATCACATAAGGTCTTGGTGACCTTGACTCGTCTCTAGGGAAGGACCTGAAATCCATAGACTAGGATTGTGACTATTTGGTTCATCGGCTAGACTTTAGTAACCCGCTAATGAGCCCCTGCTTGGACTGTGGGTCATGAAAAATACTATGTCGTTCTCATAAAGCAAGTGTGGAACGTAGTCCACAGTTGAAGGTGGAGTGCCTTATGATTATTAATTCAATTCCTAAACCAGATGGATCCATTTCCCTTCATATTAATTTAATTATGTTTTTTTATGATAGAAATTTTTTTATAATTATTATTTGAATTTTTATGAGTCTTTTGATATTTTATTTATAATTTTTGGACTTATAAAAATAGAGTTATTGATTTTATAAAAGTATAAAATTCAAATAATATTTTAAAAATTAATTTATTAAATATCATGAAGGCCCCTAATGCATATGGGCCCACCATGCACCATGTGGGTGAGGCCCACACGTGCCTCACAAGGGTGGCACGCCCCACCTCTTGGTTGTTTGCTTTATTTTCAAGTTATTCAAATTTAGGAAATGTATCTTGCGGCATGTGATCTAATATTAGATATGGAAAAGATTAACCACATCTTATCCTACATATTGAAAGCATATCTTGACTTGACATATCTTTGAATAATATAGGAAAGAATATGCTATTTTATAGAATGAATAATATTTAAATAAGATTCAATTTATTTAAATATATTGATGGGAAAATGGTTTAAGAAAATAGGGATAATGGTCCAAACACCTTCCATAATGTTGATGGCGCATCTATGGAATAGATGACTCATATTTCTCACCCCACAAGTTACCTTGATCAACGGTCCATATTTAATCTCAAGAAAGAGACAAACTATGAAAATCCCTAAACCTAATTTTTCTCTATAAATAGGGTTGCACCCTCTCCCTATTCTCTACACTTTTTTCACTCCCACAACTCTCTCTCTCCTACAGGGGCATGCCCCAATCTCTCTCTAAATCTCTCTCTTTAACCCTCTCTCTCTTAAGCTTCTAGAGGGTCACACCTCAACCCTAGGTCTCCCACTTTCTCTCTCATGCTTTAAAAATACTAAGGATTGGGAAATTAGAGATAAGCCAAGAAAATTTTTAGGATTAGAGTTTATAGATATTTTAGAGTGAATACTCAGTTTGACCGAAATTTGTTTTCCCAGTTCGAGATTGAAGCTAAACCGTTGATTTCGCATCATCGGATATTCGTGATTCGGTGTGGGGTGTAATAAGCCCGGTTGAGGTAATCTACGACACTTTTTTTTTTTGTTTCTTGAAATATTTAATTATATTGGTTTTATATTCCCAAGCATAAAAATTGTGGATATTTTTTTTGTTTAAAGAAAATTAGTTTAACATCAAGGTTTTTACATCTTGGATTTGTTAGTTTTATTTTTTTTGAAGCAAGAATTATTGTAATAAGACTATTATAAGTGATTTTTGCCCAAAGAAAAGAAAATGGGTGAAAAGAAAAAAAAAAAAAAAATTTCCTCGGCAAGATAGCATTAATCTTTCTTTGATTAGTATCAGAGGTATTAATACTTGATGTCATTAGTTATCTTTTTCTTTATACTGAGTTTACATCAAGCTTGGGAATGAGATATATGAAAGCTAATAATCTTTGTGGTCAATTAATACATCCATAGTTAAGAGTTATTGGAATATTCAAACACCTAAAAGGCACTTTGCATACTGGGTTATTTTGGAACAGTGATATGAAGAAAATAATGATGTATTTTTCTATTACATACTTCAGTAATATTGTGTATCTTTGAGAGTAGGATCTACCTACAAAATTCTAGTAGGAGATCCTAAGGGAATTGAAAGTTATGGACTCATCAATGAAGGGTGTCAGTTCTGACCCTGCAAAATCCAGGAACTATCTACTGAGTTCCGTGATTTTTCCTACCAATGATATGATTTTATTTCTCGTTGAAATTTTGTTGTGATTCATAAAATTGAGTCTAATTTCAAACAAAAAATGTTTCATCAAGAAATTCCTTATGATTTGAAGATATGATCGATTTATTGAATGATATGCAAGTGTTGTTTTCTACAACGAAAATTATTTCCATGACTTAGAAGTCAAGATTGTATTTCTACTCTTAACAGAATGTTTTATATGTCACACTAAGTTTTTAAACTTTCATTCTGAGTCTAGTTTCTAATAAAATTTATTTGAAAAAGAACTATTGATGGGAAGAGAAGAATAAAAATTTTGGATTGAAGACAGGTCATCTTGAAATTTCTGCAATTTGGTATGTCTTTCATTGAAGACATAAATAGCTATATTTATCAAGCATATTTAACGGAGTGATATGCTTGTGGAAATATATGTGTTACTATTATATGCCTACTTTCAAACAAAATACTTTCAAACAAAATTGGTTTGAATGGGAAACTCCATGACGGTAGAGAAAAAAAACAATTTTACTAGATAGTGTTCATCTTGGAATTCTGCAGTATGATTTATTTTACGACATGAATGTCACTTATTTATTTCTCTGAAGAAATATATTATTTGGGATTCACACTATGATATTATGATTTGGTTTTGAGTCGAGTTTTCAACATAAAAGATTTCAGAAACATATTCTTTGAGGATCGAGAGAAACAAATATTTTATTGAGAGGTGCTCAACACGATTTTCAACTGAAAAAATTGCATTGTGACGTAAATGTCATTAAAATGAATACTCACTAAAAAGTATGATTAGAGATGGAATTGAGCACTATTTTTATATTTTTTTAGTCTATTTCAATAATCAAAAGGATTCGAAGATTGACTTTTTATGAGTTAAGAGATATCATATTTTTATCATGGGGTGCTCAAGCTCTATTATGCAATAAATTAAAAAGATGTGGCATGTTAAGACACATCTTTGGATTCTTAATTATGGAGACTTTTTTTTAGGGCTTATTTAAAAAGGTTTTATATTGTCCTATGAGTATGATTTATTATAATAAAACTTCAGAGAGAGGTAATACAAAGTTGGCAAGATATGACACTCTATGTGAAGAGTATTCGATCTATGAATAACAGAAAAATGAAAAAACACAATACCTATAAAAACATCTTATTTTTTGCGAAATGAATGGATATATAGAGAGACTTGATGGAAGCATAGAAACGCTAAAGAACAATGAGATAATCGAAATTGTGATATTTGAAATTAGGGGATGAAGAAGTGATTTTCTTCACGGTGTAAGACAGGGGAATCCAAATGCTGAAGAGATGGATACTTCGTGACATGTGAAACCGATGACCAATATATTCTCCATCAGTTGCGTGCACTTCCAAGATCACAAAAGCTTGTCAAACAAATAAAAGTGATGAATCAAGAAAGCCCAGGTACCACACTACATGGTTTTGAGGTATTA